AAGAATGTTACTTCAAGAGTAGCTGCAAATATGGGTCGTCAAAATGTCGCTATGCACACTCTAATAAAATGGGTTATTGTATTAAATGCCACAAATGGGGACACTTGCCGACAAAGTGCCAAACGAAAACGGCGAAAATTAAAATTACTTGAAGCTAATCGGCACATCAGAATTCTACCCCGAGGCCTAAGCAGTCGTGAAAATAGTTTACTGGTGACTAAACAACCATTACAAAAGCATCTAATATAGCAGATATCAACGACTTGCAATTAACATCTCAAAATTCATCTCTATCATGAAAATTAAAAAACATCATTCACCTTCATTAACAAGAAGTTTGCGTGTCTCTGAACCGTCAACACATATTTTCAAAGTTTATTACTCTGTCTGGCCCGCGAAATTAACTCCAAGTTGCATGAGGCAATTAAGAACTACAATGCCCCACATTTTGTCCGGTTTACTCAAGTAGTCGGAAATCAGGACTTTGTTTGAGTAACACAGCCATGCAATAACACTCTTAATGCACGGTAGTTAATTCACGACTACTGTGACAATACTACATTTTATATTGTCCGCAGTCACATTATCTCCATCTGTTAATTGGCATTATTTTATTGACCATGGCAAATGGAAATGGTGTTGCGCCATCCTAGAAATAATGCATGGCTGGCTTGGCAAGCTCGCCGGGTTTGAATCCAACATGGCGGAAGCGTGACAAAGGTCTGTGACCAAAAAGGGAATTATCTGTTTTTCATCTTGATTTTACGTTTTGTAACACTAACATGTTTGAGTAAACTGAGAGGAAATCAAGGTCTCTAAAGCGAGTATAAAAGCTCTTTTGTTTCAAGGTGTCGTTCTTTTTGTAAATTGGCGATTTTCCTTACCTCGATCGGTTTCGCTCTTTTCCATCCTATTAAAGCGAATTTTGCAATCGTGAAGACTGGCCGATTTTAGCTGGTTTCTTTTCAACTCAATTTCCACTATAGTGACAAAAAATTCGTTGTTAAATCAACCGTACAAAACTTACTCGAAAGCAAGGAAACTTATACGTTAAAAAAAGGATCAGTCACACCCTGTCACGCAACTGAAAACCAATGAAGACTCCTGGTCGTAATCAATGAGAAAATTTTGCCAGAACAGAACCCTAAAAACCCTGCTCAATGACTGTGCATTTTAAGTGATTTTAACCTTGGTTCCGGGGTCGCTCGTCTCCAGGTTACAGGAAGACAGGAAGAAGATCAACCCAGGCATCAGGGTTGAAGAGATTTGTCTTGCAATCTCAACTTGCAGTTTTGATTGCCCAGTCGCTTCTACTCACAAAGTTTTCAGGGCGGAACGGATGAGGGATCAGTCGTCAAGAAAAGAGCGTAAAAGTGCGGGGGAGGGGGGGCAGGGTAAGAGAATTGAGTGTTTCCTTTATTCCAAGTCATCCCCCTCTCTCTCCCGTCTCCTCTTCACTGTTCTGCTAAATGTCAAACTTTTATACTTCTGTTGGTATTTGCACATTAACAACACACTGAGGGGGGGGGGGGGGAAGGTTACGAAAATCGTAACCATCAATGCAGGGGATCATTGGAAAAAATACAGAACGTTATGGGGGATTAGCGTAATTTGATTCAGACACGATCGAAATCCTCCAACCCCCACCCCCCATGACCTCACCCCCATCCCCTTCCCCGGCGAGTAACAAAGATCGATCCCTTTCTGAGAATTCTGTGGTATCAAGTTTATTGATATGCAATACTAGATACGCTAGCGGTTTCTTAGTTATTAAAATCATTGTCTCATGGTAGATTTAGTTGAAAAGGAAAACGAACAAGCTGTCAACTTGAACTTCTTTTCCCGAAGTTAGCGTCTTTATGACTCATTAATCAAATAGAAATTTCAGTAACAGACGATAATGATCGATCAAGAGTCAAACCGTCACTTGATTCTGAGAATTTTTCCTCTCTTTTCCGTTAAAGAAAAATCTACCGCTCCTATATCACAGAGTTTACGATCTTGCAAAAGAGATTCTATCTTCGGTTACCATTCGGAATGTATATAAAATGAACAAGAGCTATAGACCGAATATACGATTACTTATTAACCGCAAAATTCGATACAGTCTTAAATCGGCTTGTAATCACGCACGCGCAGGAAGTACAGGACCTGATCACGCGGAGATGTTTTCCCGGAACAACAGAGCAGGACACGCTAAGTCGTTCAAATAATGCACGGTGCCTCTCAAAGAAGGCACATGTCTAATGAAGTTAAAAACCACTCCGTTATATTTGATGAACTCTTTGCATCCTCCACCGTACCATGAGGATGGACCTCGAATGCGCCACACAATTATATATATGGTCTATTCGTCTCCAATAAAATTGGATCATTGAAAAACATGTCAAATTCGTCGTAATAACCATTTGTAAGAGCAACCTTTCTTGATAAATGCGTGCCTGAATTTTTTGTAAATGTTATCCGATCGCCAGGATGTCTCTTTACCTAAACTGTGACATTGTATCGTTCGTAGCTGCCGAAAAGTTGAATGCCTAGCAAGTAGATGTTCTTATCGAAAAGCAAGCTCTCCCATCTTATCTCCATAGTTCCACTTTTCATCTCCACGCGGAGGAAGGAAATTATCAAATCTAAGGCATTGGTGAAAATCGACTCTTTGAGCCGGTGAAAACTGTAACGGAGTCTTCAGTTCATCCAGATAAAAACTCAATATGTGAGATATTTCCTCGTGTTTCAGAATGTTGTCCGTTTCCCTGGATATCGTCACAGATCTAAACTCTTCGTACGACATCAGAGGAAATCGAATCGCTTTCACAATTTCTTCCCCTAAAATAATTCTCCTTTCCTGTTTACTAGTCGTTATTCCTTGCCTCTCACATTCTTTTACGGCCTTTCAACAGCTTTGAACAGTTCTACTTCTTTAACATTCGACACTTCTTTCCTCACAACAGATTCGACATCAACATCATCGATGTCAACCGAAGCAAATTCGTCTGATGTCACAGCTCTTTCTGTCTGCTTCTCAATCACTTTCCAACATCGATTTTCCAAATCTGTATCTTCAAACATACGAGCACACGACAAAGTGCAAAAAACGTTTGATACCTTCACCTAGAATTTATGTCGCACAAACTGTTTGCAGCTCATGGCGAGTTCAGGCGTTATGTACTTCTTCAACAAATACCACAATTCACCTTTTGGGCTTTAGATGTCACGTGTAGTGTCACGTGACTTTTGATGTAAACAAACCCCGAAAGTTCGGACATTAAAGTGGTTTAGCAAGAGCACGGGAACGTCATTTCAGAACGGCGCGCGCAGCAAAAAAGTCGATAAGAAACTGGGTCGAGAATGCCGTTGCGTTGTATTGAAAAAAGATTTAGCAGTCGTTGCAACGAGAACCCTCACTTCAGCTGTCTAAAGATCAACATCACCTTTGAATTTCGGTTTTACAGACCACTCTAAGGACAACGAAATTATCTTCTTCGAGAGTTATGTAACAAGCGCAAACAGAGGATAGTTATAGATACGGCAAGAAAGTTGTTAATATGAATCCACATGGACGATTAAACTTTGAAACTATTCCATTGCAGTTTAGTCTCGAGTCTGCTGATTTATCTATCAAATTTTGAAGCCCACTAAATAGTATTTTTTTCGATGATTTTTGTCGATGTCATTTCGTTTCGGGCTACTAGATTTTAGCACTACTCGTTTTTCTTTATAATTTTGTAAAGGATAATTTGGAAATCGTCGTCGTTTTTCCCCTTGTTTACTGAATATTCTTCTCAATTATGACAGTACATCTCTTTTGAGCACCACCTTCTTAGAGTTGAAATGCATTTTGAACGGAATTATCAGGAGTTATGGCAAAACCATGTAGAAACCAAGCGGCCCAACGATGGAGTTGCTAACGATGAGTTCCTATTTATCCGTGAAAGAATGAAATTAACTCAAACTAGTCACCAACGAAACGGTTTGACTTAGGAATAAGACTTCGTTCTTGTTGTTTTTTTTTTGTTTTTGTTTAATTTAATTTTTTTAAACGAACGAAGTCGTTCAAGACTGAATCAAATTAATAGTTGATTTTTATTTCATTTCGAAGCAAGAGTTTACTTTCTTGTCTTAGTTTTCACCGGCGCTGACCAAAAATTTCAAACATAAAAAGGTGCATACCTGAGCTGTTCTCAACTTTTTTTCATCTCTGACTTCAATTCGCAGAAAGCTTCAATCACGGTAACAACGACAATAACAACAAATAACACTGAATAATACAGTAGGTAAGCGTCGTGATATTTCATTTTGATAAACTTCAACATGAAGCAAGTTTAATTAATTGATGAATTGATTCATGATAAAATTAACAGCGTCCCATTCTTAGAGTTTTCATACAGGATTAGAGAAATGTATCAAAGAAGAGCTCTTTCGCTGTTTCAAGCCTTGCTCAATTACAAGCGTACTGAGCCCTAAAATCTTGGATCCGGCGCTTGCCAACGATTGTGTTTCCTTTCGGGAATTCAGCATAAATGAAGTAGTAAATTTTCCCAAAATACACCGAATAAACCAAAGGAAGGGACCAGGTTATCCTGGAAATGAGTTTTGAAATAATTCCTGCAATAATTCCAAACAGCATTATCTCGTTTATAAGCGCAAAATTTACGCAAATGCCAGGCGTTTTGATCGCGACGGGAAAACCAGCAAAATGACGTCCTGAACTTGTTGGGGGGAGCGGTAACGCTAACACCGGAAGTCGAAATAGAGTCGTGTCCAGACTATTCCGCGCGCTTTCCCGTTCTGAAATGACGTTCCGTCCTCTTGCTAAATCCCCCTATTGAGTCGAGCTCGCAGCACATGTGTCCGAACTTCGGCTTTGGCAATTTTTCCTAAATAACTTCCCACTTTCAAGAAACGTTTCTTCGCTCAAAATTGGCATCTTTCTTTTATCATTTAATTGATCGTTTATCAAGCAAGTTGTCATTTCGCTGCCGTTGAAGCAGATGCGAAGAATGTTACAGGAAGCGTTGCGGCATGAAATAATCGAACCAGTTCTGCTTACAGTGATGTATCTGATCAGGTATTTTCAGGGTGTTAAGTGCGTAGATTGTGAAATAAACCCCCGGCTGACAGGAAATTAGTGCCCACGAATCGCATCGTGAGGAAGCCTTGATTCCTAAATATAAAACCGATTTCAACTCTATGAACGTGTACGATTGCAGTTGTTAATAAGTGTATATCTAAACATAATGGTTACGACAAAGAGATGTACTTATGGCACTAGCAAAAACGATTCACAATACCCCAACTCCCGGATAAAAATGTTGTTGAAGTGAGCCATCACTTATTGCTATTTTAACAGAAAGAATTGAGTCAATTTTTTGTGCAGGTGTTCTTCTTTCACTTTCTTAACAGTTTTGATTTCTCTTTTTAGAAGCGACAAGAGATGGTGAAGCTCACAACCAAAGAGCAATTTATCTTTACCCTTGTGAGACTTAGAAGAAACCCAAGTTTGGAAATGCTGTGTGATATATTTGGCATTGATAAAGGAACTGGAAGCAAAATATTTATAACATGGATTTTATTTTTAGAAAAAGAACTGAACTTTCTTTTCCCCTTTTCAACTAGAGAGGAAATGATTGGGGTGCCTAAACCAAAATGCTTCACAAAGAAATCCCTAAACAATCTAAGAGCAACTATAGATTGTACTGAATTCTATGTAGAAAAACCTTGCAAGCCATCCAGTCAAAGGTCTACGTACAGTCAATATAAATCCTCAAACACATTTAAATTACTTATTTCAATGTCTCCCATTTTGCATGTCAACTTTTTGTCTAAATTATACAGTGGCAGTATCAGTGACAAGGAGATTGTGAAAGCCAGTGGTTTTCTGGAAAAATTACAGTCGGGAGATGCTGTAATGGCTGATAAGGGTTTCAACATACAGGATTATCTTGCTCTTCATGAAACTGTACTTATTGCACCTCCAGTCATGAGGAAAAATAATGTTTCTGCACTTGCATCAACTGCTACAAGGCGTGTTGCAACTGCAAGGGTTCATATTGAGCGTATCATTAAGCATGTGAAATCATTCACTTTTTTGAGTGGAGTTATTCCACTCACATGTAAACCATACATTAGCTCTGCAGTCACTGTCTGTGCAATATTAGTAAATTTGCAACCATCAATTATAAATGAAACTTGACCATACTAACAGTAAATCAATACTGCAACAATCCAAATTGTCAACATTGGGGTACACTGGGTGTGCATAAGTACCCGTGGGTGTCAGGCTGGCATTGTTAGAATATTTGACAGCTTGTACAGTAAGCCGAGTTCAGTTGCAATATACCACGCTTGTCGCATGCTGCACCATCCTCAAAATACAGTCACTTTTCTTAATAAGAGGGTGCAAAAGCAGGTTGGCAGCAGTGACTGTGCCTTATTTGCTTTAGCATTTGCCACTGACTTGTGCTATGGTCTATATCCAACATCACAGAGGCACAGCCAGAAGGAGATGCAGCAACACTTTGTTACCTGTCTAGAGTCTGGGGCGATAGTCCCTTTTCCAAAAACTGATAAACGAGCACCATTTCATCTGGGCTGCAACAGCATCTCAGTACCAATCTTTTGCCTTTGCAGGCTCCCAAAAGATAGGAAAGAGTATGTGGAATGTTTTTCGTGCCATGGCTTGTACCATCCTGACTGTGTCTCAATACCAGAATGGGCCATCAAGTCACGGCTACAATGGAACTGTCAAAAATGCAGAAATACCATGGCAAAGATGGGATCAAAGAACATTTTAGCAGGATTTAGGGCATTTAGCAGGATTTAGGGCATTCAAAGCTGATCACAGTGGGGATGATGAAAGGTAGATATCTCAAATTTATTTAATTTAACTTTTCCAATGCCAACAGTTTTGAGAGTTTCAACTACAGTACTTGTGAGTTCCAATAAAGCATGCAACAGTATATTTGCTGACAATTTTTTACCAAAACCTACACAACAAATGAATTATCTGACTAGTGAAAAACTTATTTTGGCTAGGAAAATCTGACATATCACTAGTCAGTAGGCTAGGGCAGAGTAAATTGTAAATATTGAGATGACTTTAAAGTTTTGATGAACCACCCGAACCATGTTATTTATACAACAGTATGCAATGTCATATACAATGTACATGTATGACATATTCTGTAATTAATATGCTTTACAAACAAGAATTTCCAAGTTTACTCAAAGATGAAACTGGATTATATTCCTGTGGAAGAATGTTATTATGTTGTAACATGAATTTTCTCTTGAGCAATTTATTTGGCATAAATTAAACGTTTGTTCTAGTCTGCATGCAGACATTTCGTATTTTCTTTGCTTCACGTTTTTCCGCGTGAAGACGTCTGCATGCAGGCTAGATTTGTTAAAGAGTGTTTACTTGATCCCTTGGTTTGCCATCACAGTCACAACAACAAATGGCATACATGATGTACTTGTCATCTAGCTTCTTCGCACCATTTTGTCCATAAGGCCTCATGCATGGGGTAAGTTGATTTTAAAAATATCTCACACCAGAAGGTTTCAGTTCTTATTATATGACTGAGAAAATTACTTCATAATGATTGACTGATAGCAGGCAAATTTATCATTAATTTTTAATTAATTAAGTGCTAATTGATGCGAGCACATTTATAATTTTCTCAGTCATATAATAAATGAGTAATCATATCGGAAAACTCTAGCAATTAAGGATTTACACCTCTTGCAATATTTGAAAATTCTTTCAAATTGCACTCGCTTAAAGGCTCATGCAATTTTGAGAGAATTTTCAAATATCACCTGTTGTGTAAATCATTAATTGTACTCACAGTCATATGATTATCAATACAAAATCTATACCCCAGGGATACATGTACTCCAGAGACATAACAATCAGTCAGATGCAGGGTTGCCCAGTGGGCATACAATGAAGGTGAAGAGGCAACGATTTTATTGGTTCATAACTTGCTCTGAATTTTCAAGTAATTATTATTATTAAGATACATGTAAGCTTATAAATTTGACTGAAGTTTTGACACAGAAAAATAACACTAATATTGAATAAAGTTCCATCACTTAAACAAAGAAGGCCAAAAAAAAGGGTGTATAAGATAGACACTGAACTGCATAGCTTAGATTTCTCGAAATAATAATAATAATAATAATAATAATAATAATAATCCTCACTCTATGTTACATAATGTCCTGTGCAAAGTCCAAAGAACATCGGGTGAGGTAGATCGAGAATAGGCCAGCTCATGAGTTCCTCCGGGAACATCCTTCTGCTTGTCCCGCGAACTGCTGAACTGCTTATTAGTCTGCAACTCCGTAAACCAAATAGATGCGTGGCCTAATCTGAGCTTACAGCCTGCAATCGCTCGCAACACGAACTACTGGTTTCACGCTTACGCCGCTATGTTAATTTCCGAAGAGTTTACAGTGCAGTCGGGAGTCACTACGATGATCGGAAAATGCTAATCATTCGGGTCTACTTCACTCCATGTTACCTTATGTCGACCTGGAAAATGGCGACTTCTCAAACTACCTTGCGATGCTCTCTCTTCGACGAAAAACGATAATTTTACAAATGGATGCCCTTGTCACAATAGCATCGAGATGAACTTTCATCAAAAGTATTTTTTTGGCTTTGTTTCTCCTGAATTCAGATTTTGAAGGAGAATGCTAGAAGCGTTAGCGAAGACGAAGGGCTAACGCTCGAAACGTCAGCTTTGAACTTTTTACGGTGGCCAATTTACGTTATCAACTGAGTTGATAAAACTGAATTACCCTGCTCTATGACATTTTCAGTTCTGGTGACGTTCGATTTCAACCACAAAATCTTCAGCGCGTTATTATCTAAACACTCGATCATGCCTGCTACTTGTCTATCTATGTCGAGTTTAAAGCGATCTCTCGAGGAAACTTAGTTGAAGTAGAGAGGTCAGTCAAATACGCAGGAGTTATAAGTGACAGACGCAACTCTTATGGTCGACGTCCTCTTTCATTCCATTAGTGCCTTAGCAATTCGATATATCTTAAACTCTACGTAGGACAATAATTTGACATTCAAAGTACAGAAAAATCCTCACATACACCCGAATATTAAACGCAAGCTACATACCAAAAGTATGAATTTCTTACCTTGATAACTCGTTGCCATTTTATATTGCTGGTGACAATAAAAATAGATAATGCTAGCTATTCAGGTCTTACAAAATGCTGCCTGCGTGTCAGCGAAGAGTAGCTTCTCTTTCGATTATTCATGAAGTCAAACCTATTTCTCAGAAAAACAGGAAGTCAATGAGGGAGATCACGTGGAGTTTACGTAACTGACGCTCAAATATTAAAAAAATGTGAACTTTCTATTGTGATAGCTTGTTTGACCAAACTTAATTTGTTTCATAGGATGTAAGTTATTGGTTTTTAACAATAGTATGACACCCCTCCTTTTTAGGGTCATCTAAGTTAAAAGCGTTCTAATTCAGTTTTAGAAAGAAACAGAGTTCAGTGGAGATTAGGAATTATAAGATAAATGAGAGGCGAAAGGTCTGGAAATGCTAAAAAAATGTGAACTTTCTATTGTGATAGCTTGTTTGACCAAACTTAATTTGCTTCATAGGATGTAAGTTATTGGTTTTTTAACAATAATATGACACCCCTCCTTTTTAGGGTCATCTAAGTTAAAAGCGTTCTAATTCAGTTTTAGAAAGAAACGGAGTTCAGTAGAGATTAGGAATTATAAGATAAATGAGAGGCGAAAGGTCTGGAAAACAAGCCAGTTGCACTGCAGGTACTACTCTGAAGGTGATGGTTTACCGATTGAGAACGCAGTCTTTAAAAAGGTCCACTTCATTCCAGTTGAGCAATTGATTACCTGTAAAATTTGCCCAGAACCAGATCTATCTTGGTCCAGAAGGTAATGAAACTGGGTTTTCTTTTGTATTCCTCGCAAGATAATGTTTTCAGAGACTAAAATTGTTTCAACCCCAGGACCCATTTTTGGTGGTCGGGATGACTGACGTACCTCCAAAATGCATTGCTTGATTCTAACAAAGGAATCCTCAGAGTAACGTACGAAATATACTATAGGTGTCTCTGCTTATGACTCTTCCAATTTATGTAGTGTAGTTACAAATTAACGAGAAATTAAATTACCATAACTCCCATAAGTTCCAGACTCCATAACTTGATTCTTAGCACGGAATACTCGCAATGACGTAACCGCATAGTCCGTAATAATATACGAGGGTATTTGAAACGCTTCACCTCAGACAATGACCACTAGATTATTAATTTTTTCTTTCTGTTTAATAAGACGTTCGATTTGCATACAACATCAACTTAATCCGTTTCTGAGAAATAAAACCGGAAACGATTCCCAGAGTAGAGCATAAAGCGTTTTGACCGTCAACATCACTGTGACTACCGGTGATTGATGAAACAGCGATACAGAAATTTTTTACTGTTGGACAATAATACTGAACATCTGTAGAATTATCTGACGGAAATGAATCGCCGCTAATCATTTGTTATTGAATCGAGTATATGAATGCGATGGACGCTTTCACAACGAGAGATGACAGCTGGCTGTCATTGGACAGTTAAAGTAGCCAATCGTTCTGAGTCCACTCAGCTAAATCCACCAATCACAGAATTGATCATAATAACCATAGCGGAAACCACTTATCCTGAGGAAACTCGGGAATTTCCAAAGTGGAGGAATTTTTAAATTAAGAAATTGTCTCCACTGGAGATATTTGTTCTAGATGTATTTTTGACGGAAATTGTAATGGTTATGATTAATTAGTAACAGGACTTCGTGTCGTCCAATTCTGTCTGTAATCATACTCGTGATTGACAAATCGGACTCTTGCTTCGCGGTCGTCCGATTTTGTTAATCACTCCTATGATAACAGACCGAATTGGACTCTTAATCCTATAACCATTTTTAATCAGATCATCTCTAGTAAGGTGATTCATCAGTGTTTTATTGTATTGCGAATCCTGTACTGCACATAAAAAAAATAACGTAGTCAGGCGAATAAGCGCGCGCATTCTGAAAACACTGTATTGCTTTTTAATCAATGGGGAAGGTAAAGAGGTATTGTGGTCTTTAGCTCTTGAACGAGCACATTAAACTTTATCTTTTATCAAATAATTTTGGTATAAAAA